TTTGGTATATCTTACCTGTACAAAGCCGTTTCTGGCGTAAAGCTGGTCTCAGGACAGCATTCCTCACGCCGACTGCTCAAACTAAACAACAAATACAACATTAACGTTCAACACGCCTCGTTATAATTACAGGTGCAACTCAAAATACTTCAGTGAAACACTCACGAAATACAGCTGAACGGCGCAGGACGCCCAGATGATCAGATGAGCTGGATGTTTACTCAGATGTGAGCCGTCTTCCCTGCATATGTTGTCATCACTTTTGTCTGTGAGCGTAACAAACATGTTTGCTGTAGTTTATCATAAACCAAACAAAGAGATATCAGTGACCAACACACTGATGAGGTCAGTGTTCATTGAGATTGACCTCACACACAGGCCCTGAAGTAGCCTTGACTCACTGAGAGATAGTTCATTTAGTTATTCAAAGAAAGAGTTGTGATGGACTGAATTGTAGAGTTTGTGATACTGTTTATTCTCAGGGGTTTTCAATCTTTAGATGCCGTGGACCCTCAAATATGATCATCCTCGTGAAAGGGACCCCCATTCTAATATTTAAAAGGCAGCTATATATTTAACTTACACTATGAAATAATAATATAATGATAATATAATAAATAAGTCTAAAATATTCTTTAGAAAATAAATATTTAGTTTCTATTGTTAAATTATAAAGTTTTTTTTCCTACTCACTAATGTACTGTTATGTTTTATTTATCAGAATAATTTGTATTTACTTATATCAACTTTAAAATGTATTTTAATAATTTCTTATTTGTTGTAATCAAATCATTTATTTCTTATATATATATTTTTTTTCTCTCTCTAAACTTTTTCCTGTGATCCAGTTTGAAATCCCCTCTTGTACAGCGGATATAATGCTGGTTTATACATAGCCTAATAATGACAGCAAATGACATTTATACAAATCACACTTGTGTTACATAATATTTACTCTAAATTCACTTCAATGTGAAAACATGGTAGTGCCATATTTCATTTTATTTCATGGTAAGTTAACGTTATCTAGTAACGTGAACATATTTCATGCCTCTCCTGAAACTGTCATTCAGGTTCTCCACTATTTCAAACAAACACACACACACTGCCTAACGTTACTTGATCCCTGTCAATCAATGCTTCTATCAAGAATTTAAATCTCTAAATCTGAAGTATGACTTAATACGTAATTTCGAGAGAAAATTAATCGCCCCAATTCTATCGATAAATTCATATAGGCTAACTATACGTGAATTGTACCGATTCATACCTGTCCAGAACTTCCGCGTCAAATCCCTCAACGGTCCTGGGTTATAAAAAAAACGACAAAATATCGAGACAACAGTGATGAATAAACTCCGTGCTGGGGGATTTAAACAGGCTTTTCCCGTAACAACAAGATACGATATGACCAGCGGGATTTCCAACTTTCACTCAGCCGTTGTTGAGAGAGAGAGAGAGTTTCGGCGAGTCTCTGGCCGCGTCTCAAACCTAATGTGACGCCTACGTAAACAGCGTGTGGGCGGCGCGTTGGAGTTCACTGGCTGCACACGCACGTGACGCTCAATCCCGCTGTCTATATAGTCGACTCACTAGGGTTTGAAGCACAGCCCATAATGTCAGCTGAATGTGACCGTCAACAGGTGAAGCAACAGTGCTTTTAATGACACTTTAGATTCTATTAAACAATCAAAATATGACTAGGCCTATGTTATATTTGGATTGGAAGAACTATACACTAAACTTGGTTAAGGTATTAAAATGACAATTATTTATATAGCCTACATAAGGAAAAATTACTGGTATAAGGCAAACTTGTTGTGCAAAAAAGTCATAAAAAAAAAAAAAAGCGCACAGGCAATAAAGCACATTGACTACAATGTAATCAGTTATTAATATTGTGTTGGTTCTCCCTTGTTTTTGATTACAGCAGCCATTATCCTGAGTTGACTCACTAAACTGTGCATGTGTCATTTCTTAACTTCTTTCCAATCCTCAAGTTCTTCCCAAAGTTGAGCTTCATTGGAAGACCTGCATGACACCATGGTTTATTATTTCCGAAAGGTTTTCAACGGCTTTAAGGTCAGGAGACTGAGGAGGCCACTTGAAGACTTCAAAATGCTGAGCATGAACACTGTCATTGCACACAACTTTGTTGCATGTACAGTGTGTTTGGGATTATCATGTTGGAAAATTACACATTCTCCATACATTGTGTTCAGCAGGATTCCCAAGTATTGGTCCATTTTCAAAGTGCAACCAACAACATTATAGATCCTTCCAACACCTGCTGCAGACATGCGCCCCAAATACCATTGTTTCCCCTCACCACGCACGCATTTGGTATTAAAACACTCCATTTGTCTACCACAAACATATCTAACACCGTCCATCGCTAGGTTGCTAAATTTGGACTGCAGAACACGGCTCCAATCTTCCACACTCCAATCCTTATGATGGCAAATGCAAGGTGTTTTTTTGCAGTAGATAAAACTAATAAATGGTTTCTTTACTGGTACACATCCTCAGGATGAAATTAGAGGTAGGTTGGATGTCTCGTTCAGGTCTTTAGAAGCTGTTTTGAAGTGGTCCCACATTCAGGTGATTTTCATCCTCCGGTCAAAATGCTCTCTTGTCTTCCTTGACCAGTCGCACTTTCCATTCTGCATGGTCTTTCTGTGGACATTGTGACCATTCACACCCTGCACATGAGCAATGTCAAACACCATTGAACCAGGGTTTGCCATTTGAACAATATCCTCCTTGGTTGCAGAGGACAGCTCCTTCCATCTGGTCAGTTTCACTAAAACACCAACATCTAATATAGCTAATATCTGCCACATTGTGATTTATTGCTGGGATAATGAGTGCAAGATTGGCATGACCACTTGGCCAAAAATGATGTCCGCACAATTCAGTATATGTTTCATTGCATCATGAACGCGTACGTTCGTTTTACACTCCAGGCACAACTTTACAACAATAAATATTTAATAAAAAGCTTAAATAAAGTGTTAAGAAACAAATTTAGCCCATCTGTGAAAAGTTTGTTTATTAGATTATGTATTTACTTTTTAATTGAATTATATTTGTCTTGTTAAATTGGATAAAATATCAAAATATAATATTCAAGAGTTAGTTGGTTTGTGTCTCTTTAAAACATACACACATTCCGTCCGATCAAATCACACAAAGTTTGATCATTTCAAAATAGGCTTGAAAATATGAAAAATTATTTGAGGTAATGATGTTAATTAATACAGATGAGGTGAGTTTGACCTGAGCAGATTTCTCATAAATTGTTTAAAAGGTACTGCGTATGAGGAATGACCCCTAATCGTTGCTCAGTTCACTTCTGAGGGACGTGACAAAGACAGCGTGACTTTCACATCACGACAGTCAGAGTCCAGAGCGACTGCTGCGGTCATAAATCTCAAGCGTAAGTGTGCATGATATTAGTCTCAGTGCCACACAGACAGAAAGAAAGAGGGTGAGATGCGTATAAAAGCTGAGACAAAACACAGAACAGATGGAGGGCAGTAAGACAAGGACACTGAACGGACAGCTGGCTCTTTTGTGCACTAAAGTGTCTTCCTCTTGCACACAACATACTGTCAGAGACATTCAAATCTTATACCTTGCCGCAAAAGAACCTCATTTGGCAAACGCAGGCGAGACTATCAAGAATTTAGTGACTGCCTTTATGTGACAGTCTTTGTTTCACTATTATTCACACACCCCACTGTCACACAATAAAAGGCTTGTTATTTTCCTGCCGAAGCACATCTGTTGGCTTCCTGGCATTGAGCTGCTTCTGCATTAAGGGCACTAAGAGTGTTGAGTGCTGTAAGCTTGATATAACGCAGGTAACTGCACAACACTCGCTCGTTTAGAGGTCAAGTGTGTAGCACTAAAACAGAACTGCTAAAATAGTCATTGCTGTCAGTTAAAATACTGTCCCTGCCTGCCATTAGTCAAGTCACAGAGATAGCTCCGCCCCAAATGCACACTATTGGCTGAGCCAGTGTTATGCCACACCCACCCAGGACAATGAAACAAACAGACTTCAGTTCTATTAAAGCGTGTTTTCACCACGAAAAAAAAAAAAAAAAAAAGGTAAATGCAAGTTTTTAATCGCACAATTAAGACTTTTTTCCTCACAATTTCGACTTTACATCTCAGAATTGTGCCTTTTTTTCCTCAGAATTCAGGTTTTTTTTCTTTACCATGGATACGAATATAAAAAAGGTAATTGTGACTTAGCTAAAAAATAAGACTTTTTTTCTCACAAATGCAAGTTACGAACTCTCAAATAATTGTGAGTTTATATCTTGTAGTTCTGACTTTTTTCTCTGAATTCAGTTTTTTCCCGTTTCTGCAACAGAATAAAACTAAAAAAGGTAATTGTGATTTTCTAATTCTTACTTTTTTCACGTAATGTGAGTTTATATATCACAATTCTGAAAAAAGTAAGAACTGTGAGATAATGAGTGAGATGTATAAAAAGTCGCAATTAAAGTCACAATTACTTTTATTTTTATTCCGTCGTGGAAACAACCTTTCATAAGAGCTTGATCTACTATGAAATTTAAAACTGCCTCCAAAAAGAACATTAATTGAACCTACACTGCAAAAACAGCCCCGAAACCCACACAATTGTCCACATTTACACGTCAATGACGCAGAGTGGGTGATCAGAAACATCACCTGTCTGGACGTCCTACACCTGAATACTCTGAAAAGACTGAAAGTCAGAAGATCAAACTAACAGCATCACAGTAATCTGAGTGTGAAGCACTGATATACTAATGCAAATGACACTGTTTTGAAGACGAGACTTTCAGGCTGTGCATGAACTTTCAGCCCATTTCACTTGCAAATCAAGTCGTTTTTCTCGTCTGTCCTGACGGTAAAGGCATTTGTGGAAATGCAACATCCAGGGCGTTTGTATAAGTGACAAAACCCCCCAAAGAGCCAAAAAACTGTGCATGACACAGCTGTGGATTGAACAAACATTTATTAAAAACAGATGAAATATATACATTTTAGAGTTTTATCACAAAATATATCATAAGATGAGTTGTACTATAACCTTTCACATTACAAATGAGAGCTGCAGCACTTGATTATTTAGAGCATTTAAATAAAGGATGCTGAAACAAGCAGACCATCATTTCTCTGAATGAGATATATGATTCAGCACACAGGTAAGGCCAAAGTATTGTTTGAAATCCAGAAGAAGAAATAAAAATCAACAAAAACAAATACTGACCATAATGAAAATGTAATTATTTGATATTTCATTGTTCTGGTTCATCTTGCTCCGCTTACCCTGAATCACAGGAATGATTAAATACAAATATCATCTCACTGAATGTAATTTATATTAATATGCATTGTAAAATTCAAATAAGACGCCTAAAAAGTTCCTGTCAGCTTTCACATTCAAATATCATGAAGTCCACACACCATGTTCGCAGGCACTGATATATCTGTGGGTTTAAAAACAAAACATGAGGCCTTTTAGTTATTACAATAATGTTAAAAGAACACAATTTTCATCAAAGAAGCTTCAAACACACTCAACGAGCAAAACGACACACCCTGTCAAACCTGACCCAACCACCTTAGTCATAATGACTTTAATGACTGATAGATACCATATGTTTTCACTCATTCCATTATAACGGACCCCTACGGCACCTTTGAAGGGATAGTTTACCCAGAAAATAAATAAATTCGTCAACATTTACTCATTTGCATGTTGCTCAAATCTGAATTACTTTATTGTCGTAGCAGACAAAAGAAGAATCGGGTTTGACACCATGACAGATGTTGTAGAAAAAACAATATGCCACTTTGAGTGTGTGAAAAAGTGATTGAGCACTGAAATCTGCGTCTGTTCATCACACAAAATATCATATGACTTGGAATATAGTGTCAGTCGTGGTCACAGATGTTGAATTATTTATGTTACACAGTAACACAGAATAATAACATCATATAGGTGTGGAATGACATGAGGATCAATTGTTGTTTTCTGGTGAACTATTCCTCTGAGATATTTGAAAAGTTTGGAATTATTAAGAATATTAAGCTTTATGTTTGATAAAAAAAAAACAGAAATATTGTGAAATATTAATAATTCCACGCTTTTCAAATATCTCAGAGGAATAGTTCACCAGAAAACAACAATTCACCCTCATGTCATTCCACACCTATATGATGTTATTATTCTGTGTAACATAAATAATTCAATTTATGTTATACACAGATGTTACTGTTCTATGTTTTTATTCTATGTTACACAGAATAATAACATCATATAGGTGTGGAATGACATGAGGGTGAATTGTTGTTTTCTGGTGAACTATTCCTCTGAGATATTTGAAAAGCTTGGAATTATTAAGATTATTAAGCTTTATGGTTGATTAAAAAACAGAAATATCGTGAAATATTATTACAATTTAAAATAGCTGTTTTCTATTTGAATACATTTATAAAATGTAATCTATTCCTGTGATCAAAGCTGAATTTTCAGCATCATTACTCCAGTCTTCAGTGTCACATGATCCAGCCAATCAGCATATTAGAATGATTTCTGAAGGATCATGTGACACTGAAGACTGGAGTCTGAAAATGTAGCTTTGATTACAGTTACATTGTAATTATAGACAAAGGGGAGCTGTGGCGCTGCTGGTGTTCCTTGTATCCTCTGGTGCTCTTGGAAGGGTTAAATGTTCATAAAAGAATTTGGAAAAAATCCAAGTCCTGGCACTCAGTCAGTAGGATGCAAAAGTTTAAAAGCCTTTATTGTTTTAAGGGCTAAAACATTAAAACAACAACGCGTATCGGCCCACTGGCCTTCATCAGGGTGTTGGTAACAAACAAGACAGAATCAAGTCATACTTAGCCTGGTTAAAACCAGACCATTCTCAGTTGTAACTGAGTTATGGTCTGGCAAAGCGTCATAGACAAATCATTTCCAGAGGGGCGTCGCCAACGGACGTCGCGGATAGACCTAAAACCAATCAGAGCGATAAAGGAGATGACGTATGCAGAGCGGCGGAGAAACATCTCCGAGTGTTGTTCTTTGCTCGGTTTTTAACTAAAAGGAAACGTTCAAATCGCTTAAAACAGACGCGATAGCTGATTCGAACGAGTGATGTTCGACGGCGGCATCCATCTCTGTAATGTAGGCTACAAAATCTGCTTCAAAATCCCAGCGCTGTCGTCATCGTGTAAAGCCGCCCCAACGTTTCTGATTGGTGCCTCGATTTCGGCGGATTGGAAATGGGCTTGAATGAGCTCTTTACCAGACTAACTTTCAGAGCAAATCTAAATTTGCCGGAAGTTGTCTGGGTTTTTCCAGGCTAAGTCATACTTATAATTGCATTGATTTCAGGTGTGCCACTCTGGCGCTTGCAACACAACTTCTTGTCCACTAGAGGCAACAGTTCAAGTCATGTCTAATGCCAGAGGTTAAACCATACAAATACAAGACCAAATGAGAGGAAAAATGACACCACTACAAACATCCAGTGTACTCCACACAATATGCACCAAAAGTCAATAAATATTAATAAGCTAGTTTACACATAATAATTCTTAATTCATAGTCAAGATGGTTCTAAAACAACATGTAGAAAAAATGGCAATTGGGTCTATTGCATTAAAAACCTAGTCATCAACTAGTCAACAGAGGGAGACATATTGGATCTATTCCTTGAGGGCCACTAGTCATCCAGGTCTCCATGAAGATTTTGACCTTTCACCCTTTTTGTAACTGTTGTGCCTCAATATGGACAGTGTATTGCTGTTCGTAAATGATGACTAGTTTTTGAATGCAATAGACCCAATATTTCACTATTCATGTTGTTACCGCTATTCCAGTGGGCCGATACGCGTTGGTGTTTTAATGTTTTAGCCCTTAAAACAATAAAGGCTTTTCATAATTAGTATTTTATTGAGTTTTGAACACCACTGTTACATTGTAGTCAACATTACAATTGACATTTTAACATATATCCCATAGTGATGATACATTTTGAATAAAAAAACTAAAAGGATTAAGCCAGAAGAGGTAATAGAAATCAAATAGCAAATAGAAATAAATAGCATTCAGATATTTAGCATTAGCATAATTAGTATTAGTATTTTCCACATTTCACAATAAAGGCTTTTTAACTTTTGCATCCTGGACTTAAATTTGGTCCAATTCTTTTTTATGTACATTGTAATTATATTCAAATTAGGGCTGTCAGTTAAACGCGTTATTAACGGCGTTAACGCAAACCCATTTTAACGGCGTTAATTTTTTTATCGCGCGATTAACGGTCTTTTTGGCCTAGCAAACTTTGTAGGTTTTTTTTCACATGCTTTTGCAACAGGACGGCATGCGGGCCGCTGCGCTATGAAACCCATTCATTTCAATGGCTTGCGGCGCGCGAGGACGTTTTGAAAGCGCAAGCGGATCTAGCTAGACCGGAAACAAAACAACAGGCACGCCGCACACACTTGTTTGGGCTTGCGAGCCGGATGCGCGAGCGCGAATCTCTCTGCTCGCGCGCGGAATATAATGTGCCGAGCACGAATCTCTCTGCTCGAGTCGCGCGCTCTCAGAGACACGCTGCTCTTGTAAGAATTTTCTCTGGGCTCACTCAGAGAATATGCCTGCACTTAAAACGTGTTCAGTGCAATCGCGAATCTCTCCTCTTCCCCAGCTAACAATTTTAGGTTATAAGAATGTTTTCATAACGTTCCCATTAAGTTATAAAAACGTTATTTCTGAATGTTATAGGAACGTTCAAAACGTCCAGTTTTGAGTGGGTGACGAGCGCGAGACGCCGAAATGGATGCCAATAAGATTCTGAATGGAAAGTTTACTTTTAAAAAGTTGCCAAATGGTTCCATTGACAAGACCAAAGTGATCTGTGTGTTTTGTCGTTGTGAACTGAGCTATCATCATCGCAGCACGTCCAGTCTGAATACCACTTGATGATGACCAGCACACACACACACACACACACACACACAGCTGATGCGAATTCTCCGCCCCCTCGTCAATATCAGGACCTCGTCAGTATTTATTTCACCCTTTTATTGATGGACAGTGTTATATTGTGTGAGAGATTATTTGCTCCAAGTGATAATGTTTTAGTGTGAAATTGAACAGTATATGCCAGTGCTTCTCAAAGTCCGGACTCCGGTCCGGATCCGGACCCGGAGGGAATTCAATCCGGACCCGCCTCCATTTCGTATTTCAAGAGCCCTAATTGTGTGTAAGGGATTAAAAGTCTGGATTTCCTATTTTGATAAACGCATGTTAAAATCATTTGTTTATTTTTTATGATGGTCCAAAATTAAAACAAAGGCGAGATATTTAAAGTTTTCCTCCGTGATGTAGTTGCCATGACATCCAGTGAGCGTGTGACTTTTGACGTAATCGGGCGCGACCACGACGCGACACTTCCTGGCGCGTTTGAATGGGTGTGGAGGATGTCATTGTCCAGGAAAAGAAAAGTTGACGAAGAAAATAGAGTTTTCAAAGATGATTGGAAAGAGAGGTATAGATAGCCCAAATCTCCCGGAAGTTCCAGGAGTCTCCCGCATATTGATAGCGGCTCCTGATGCCCGCAAATTAGTTCAAATCTCTCGGAATCTAGAGCTCGCGAGCTCCAAACCGTGCAGCGCGCGTACAGCAGAAAGGGAGAGAGCGAGAGACCTTACGTGTGTGTGCAAAGTGTGTGCAAAGTGTGTGCCCCCCCCCCCCCCCCCCCCCCCCCCCCACTTTGAGAACCCCTGGTATATGCCAATATTGTTTTCAATAAAAAACATTTGCACAAAGCAAGCCGATCCACTTTTCCATGTTGATAAGAGCATTAAAATGAGAAAAAAATAATGGGACAAAAAGAAATCAAGAGACATTTAGAATAGATAAAAATGTGCGATTAAATGCGATTAATCGCGAGTTAACTATGACATTAATGCGATTAATCGCGGTTAAATATTTTAATCGTTTGACAGCACTAATTCAAATAGAAAACATTTATTTTAAATTGTAATAATATTTTAATGATAGAATATCTTTATATCAAGTATATATATTTATATAATGGTCATATTAAACGGTGTAACGGTACTAACAGTGTGTTGTACCTGTACATGCAGCATAAATAAACTGATACTCTACCTATTTTCTTAGGTTTGGGGAGATTGAGGTTGTTCATGATGTTCACAAACTCGTCCAGTGTCTTTGTCAGCCGTGGATTAAACTTCTTTTCCTCATCTACGGTGGACACAGTCTGACCTTCAGCGTTCAGAGTAGATCAAAACAAACAGGAGAAGAAATAATGCACAAAACAACAAAGAGAAAGTCAAATATCCCTACTACTACTACAAACCTTAGTAAATAGTTGTTTAATTGTTTAACATTGGTGTCTATTATCAGATTACTCAAAGGACTCTAAAAGCAGCGGTGTCCACACAGTTAAAAGTGGTTTTAGACTTTAGTTCCCCGTGGTAAAATGACTGTAAATGACGTACCCTTGTAGTCGTGTGCGGGGTAGATGAAACAATGTGCAGGCAGGGTGAAAATCTTCTTATGGATGGACTCGTACAATCTCTTTGGACAACCTGAGTGAAGACAGAAGAGGAGCTTTACTGTCTCGCCATCATGTGGCCATTCGAAGTACTACAAAAACAAAGGCAACATGAGCACAGGGAAAAGTCTACAAACTATTAGGGCTAGGTGATATTGTGAATATTCACTAAATATTTACCATGATATTACTCTACATTTTTTTTTCACATGAATTTCATTGATTTTATTCTGCTTTTCATTTGGGTATTACATTTTCTAAACAGTTTGTCACTTGACCACCTTCACAATCAACGTAGGGACATATTGGCGTTTATGACTGTGTTGTTATATTGGCGCATTTAAATGTAAAAGATTAAATCTTATTCTTCCTTGTGTACATTTAGAGAAAAACAGTATGAAAATATTGTTATGACCTATAATGCTTTTTACATTTTCATCTTTCTTTAGTGTGTAATGTTGCTGTTTGAGCATGTAAAAGGTCTGAAAAGTTACAAAGCATAAAGTCCCTCCCAGCGGGAGTTATTCTCTATATCAGTGTCACTGTTTCTGAACTCTCTGAAACGCCTCCATTGTAGTCTTGAGTTTTTTTCCAGGTATAAACACATCACAATATTCCTAATTTTAATAATTTCAGCCCAAGGCATACGCAAATAAAGGGGCGGGGCCTGGTTGAGTTAGTTAGTAGTGTGTTGAAACTTGTGGTTATGGTAAGGGGCGGGACATTTCAAAAACAGCTGACCAATCACAACACAACGTTCCAGCCAACCAATCAGAGCATATTGAGCTTTTCAGAAGGAGGGGCTTCATAGAGACAAGAGCGATACTGACAAACTGGGAAGAGAAGTTGAGCAACAATGTCAAATATATGAAAAATACTGTGTTTACTGAACATTAAGGCATGAAAACATATTCTAGTAGAGCCCAAAGACAAAATTAAGACTCTGTAAAAGGGCATAATATGACCTCTTTAACAGCTCCACAATTGGAGATTCGCTCAATCAATACTGTATTTCTGTAATCCTAACACTTCCGTCACCTTGCTGAAAGTCTGTCCGTCCGCAGCCCCGGATGAGGATGGCGTCACCAGTGAAAGCCATTCTCTGATCTCCAGTGACGTACGTCAAACATCCATCCGTGTGTCCCGGGGTCTCTCGCACGGTTAGACACTGAAACGGACCAAAAGCCAAAGTTCGGAATAGAGTAATAATCCTATCAGCACTTTATTTATTATATAACCTGTTCAACTCTCACTGACTATGATAAGCCTGATAACAACGCTGTAAAACATCAACACAGCCTTTGTGTTTTTCTTCACACTGTCATTAAAATAGATGAACTATCATAAATAAACTAACTGTAAATGACCTGTTCATGATCCTGTTTGGAAATCTGAGTGGATTGTAAGGTTTAGCGCATTGCCCTGATCACTTGCAATATTAAATTATATTTTTATATTGTATAGGTGCTAGTATTATATATTATTTCATATAAATAAACATACTGTAAATGACCCAGTCAGGATTTTGTTTTTGAAACGGTATGGATTTTAAAATGTATTGAATAGCCCTGGTCAGGCGTAATCCTTCATACATGTTTTCCGAAGGTGATCCGGTCTCCCTCTGAGAGAAGTGTATCCGCAGTGGCTCCGCTGTGTTTGGAGATGCAACTCTTCAGTCCAAACACCTTCTTCTTCAGCAGTCCAGTGCCAGTGATGTGATCCGCGTGACAGTGAGTGTTCGCTGGTAGAGAACATGCACAGACAGGCATCATCAAACTGACAGTAGTTTTTCAGTCATTTTTGCATCTATTTCATAAATGGAAGATAGAACCAGGGCCTAAAATGAACACTTGCCAAGCTCCAAATGCGAGTCAAAATCGCCGTTTGCGAGTATATGAAATGGTGACTCGCCAGTTGGCCGGTAACATTTTTGTGAATTCTAACAATGCATGACGTCAACGGTGCTCAGGACGGTTGATGGAAAAAGGAGCTCATTACATTACTCACACACTGTGTAGAAAGTTTTGTGTGCGCAAACATCCAAAGTGCGCGCCCAGAAAGTGTGTCTCAGACAGCATGCGAATACTAAACTGAGCTCTTTCACGTCTTCTTGCGCTTGAGAAAAAAATCTCTCACTGCTCTAGACTGAATAACTTTTGTAACTTTAATAAAGATTAATAAGGATGCTTAATTTATACAGTGAAGACTATGCAGTGTTATTTAACATTTGCTTACTTTATTCAATTTCTGTACCTGAAAACTACAGTCAGACATACCTGATAAACCTGAAAAGCAGTTTTTTCCCCTCATTTGTATCTTTAAATATAGTATTTATCTGTGCTTTTGCTAGTAATTAGATTATTTGTTCTTATTTTATTACTGACGGTTTACTTGTCTTTAATACTGTTTTAAATTTACATTAGTTAGGCTAGTAGTTTTAGCTGTGGTCTCAAAATTGGAATAGAGAATTGTGAATTTTCACTTGTATCTAAAATTTGTTGCGTTTCGTGGCTCCGGCCATTGGCGGCTGTGGCAAAAAAGTCAGTTTAAGGCCCTGGATAGAACGATAGAACGATAGATAGATAGATAGATTCACCGGCCACTATGAGTTTAAGTCCCAGTTGATCGATGAGCTGCAGGTCTCTGTCCACTGTTTCCAGCACGGGGTCGATCAGCACGGCCTCGCGGGTGTCTGTGTCGGCCAGGAGGTATGTGTACGTGCTGCTTTCAGATTCAAACAACTACAGGAACAACAACATCATCATCAGGACTGTCAGAGTGAGTCAGCTGAATGTGTGTGTCCAGTAACATTCCATTCATATTTGCTTTCATCTGCAAACTACGGCTACCGTGTATCTGTTTACTCGTTACATGCAGCTCACACAAACACAAAAAATCAACAGGGTAACATATTTTCTGACAAAATTCCATAGTAAAACTTCTTTGATCTAATTTGATATTTTCCACCACTGATATAACGATATAAAGCCGAAAGAGAGCTTTTACAGAAGTAACGGTAACACTATACAATAAGGTATTAGTCAATGAATGCAATAATTAATATTATCTAAAAATTTCAGCAAAAAGCTATTTATATTTTGTTACAGTATTTATTCATCTTTGTTAACATTAGTTAATAAAAAATACAACCGTTCCTTGATAGTTCATGTTATAACTCAGGTCCATTAAATAATAAGAAAAAAACTTTTGGTTTTAATAATGTATAGTAAATGTTGGAATTAACATTAAGATTAATACATGCTTTTGAAGTATTTGTCATGTAACTCATGTAGGCTATGTTAACAAGTGGAACCTTATTGTAAAGTGTTACCAAGGTTTAACTGTATTGGGTAAAAATACACAACATACAAAATAGACAATAGACAAAATATACTTGCATTTCATTTCATTCATACAGTAGTCATAAATATGTTGTTCACACTTATTTTAGTGGACGCATGCCAGTTCTGCTCAAGCTCACACAGGTCAGGTGTTCAGAATCACATAAAATATCAACATCTATTGCAGATTTATTGTTTTAGAAAACTTTAGGTCACATGATGCGAGATAAGCTCCTGCAGACTTTAATAAGCCTTTATGTGTCTGTATTTCACGTTGTCTTTATCACACCTCTGTAAATCCCTCTGGTTATTGATTGTATGAGATGATGTCCTGTAAAAATTAACTTTCCCTTGTCATTTTAGCAGTTCCGTATCTACACACAGTGAGCAGAGCACCATTAAATACAAAAACATACACTAGTTTCTCCTCATGTCACATGAATAAACAACTTAAACTAATTTGCAGAGCATCAGAACAGAGCAGCATCACCTGTCTGAAGAGCGGGGCCCCGGGCTCCATCAGTCCGCTGTAGAGTCTCACTGACGCCGGGCCTCTGAGATCGATCACCGGTGCTTTGCAGTTCCACAGCCGGATCGCAGAGCTCACTGCAGGCTTCAGTCTGTTTAAAAGGGCTACACTCATTTTACTTCTGTGTGCACGTTGGAGTCTCCACCTTAAACCGGTATGACGAGTCTCAGATCACTGAAGGAACTTGGGTCGTCAAACTGTAGCCGTGTAAACACCTTGTAACTGTAAAAGAGCGAGTGCACGCCTCCTTCCGGGATCACTGCAGATAGTAGGGGCGCGTATTATTTGGCAAGAGACGTGAATAGCTCATGCATGGGATCGCTTTATAAATGTGCTAATTTGCAGTATAGATAGTAATGTCGATTCCTAAAAGTGATCACGGGCACTGACAAGGAACCTTGACTTGTTCGCGCATGCGCAGCAAGCTCGTGTGTACAGCGCTGCCACTTGGCGGTGGGACGCCGAGTCAACTTACGAGAGAAAAATAGTCTCTAAACAAAATAACCATTAGTGAACGTTCTGTTAAATTTTTTATTAGGGTGTCACAAAAACCTCCCTCTCTGACAACATAGAAAACAGAAACTAGTAAAAAAAAATAAAAATAAAAAATTTATATATATATATGAATTAAGATCTTATTGATGAAATCTGAGAGATTTCTGTCCCTTCATTGACAGCTGCGCGCCCACTTTGATGCTTTAGAAAGTTAAAGACAGCGCCGCCGCTCCCACCACGCGCATCACGCGCTGTGCGTAGGGCACCAAGTGCTGAGGGGGCACCAAAAATAGCCTAATGAAAAACCAATCATCAAACTTTTTGTTATAATCAGATTCAGCGCGTTCTTCCTCTTCATTCCGCAGCGGCGCCGAGCAGAGACAGAGAGCACGTCAGAAACACAGGACAGGGTGTGTGTGTTCATGTGTGTGTTCTTCTGAGCCTCATTGGTCTGTCACTGCTCGTCAATGTCAGAATATTTGAGATGACCAATCAAATCAAAGTAGGCGGGCTTTATGTTCACAGACGCTGAGCGCGAATTTTAACAGTGCAACTCTACGCTTCAGTGTACGGTCAAGTGCGAGATAAGATGTAAGTAGCTAAACAACTTTATTTGACAGTTTTTTTTAGGTCATAAATGTTAAACGAATGACAAAAAATAATTAGGCAAACTAATATAGTTTTGTCTAATTTCGCCATTTTTAACTGAAAATAGGCCTATGTAACATGTAGCCTAGTGTAATAGTTTAGGCTACTGTCATTGTGAGGGGACAAGAAACATGAACAAAGCCGTTTTCATCATGTTAGGCACAGGATTTATAATGAATGTGTACATATTGAGAATAAAATACAAATTGTAACCTTTAGTAAATTAAAAAAGCCAACTTTAGGAGGGGAAGAGACAGGGCAAGATAAAAACAAAGAGAAAAAGAGTGTGATGCTGATGAGGAGAGAAAAATAATCAGCTGCCCACTGACATGGTTTTAAAGCTGTTGTTATCGAATTTTTTTTTTTTTTTTTTTTTTGCCTTCACAACATCTTAAAATGCACATCTGTAGTTCAGAAAAATCCAAAATTTCCCCCGAACACCCCTAACTAACCTGCCTCAAATTCGGGATCCCAGTGATTATAAAACCATGCCATTGCATGGTAATGAAACTAGTTAATAGTACGCATTAGACCCTAATCTAAAGTGTTACTTTTTAGCTTTTTAATTTTTTTATAAATCATACCCTCATTGGGGGCTTAGCCCCCCTAAATGAAAATACTAAATGAAAATGTTTTTTTTTAGGGGGGGCGGGGGGCATCATAAAGGAATTATGCTTAGGGCACCAAAATGGCTAGCAGCGGCACTGGTTAAAGAGATCGTAAAACTAATCGAGCTTCTGTTTATGTTCGCTGATCAATGTTTATATTTGTATAAAAGCCTAAATTCTATCTGTTCATTCATCATATAAAGCGATTGAGTCTCTTCAGAAAATTTTGGACTAAACCGCTCAATTCATATGGATTAGTTTTACGATCTCTCTATAAACTTTTTGTAGCGTCAAAGTGGTAGTTGCGTAGCTGTCAATGAGGGACAGAAAGCTCTCCGATTTCTTCAAAAAGATTTTCATTTGTGTTCTGGAGATGAACAAAAGTCTTATGGGTTTGGAACAACATGAGGATGAACAATTAATGACAGAATTTTAATTTTTGGGTGAACTATCTCCTCAAGTATCAACATCTTTGCGCAAGTTTTAGCTAACTTTTTTTGTCAAATGTTGTGAGAAATGCTCCTGCAGACTTTAACGAGACTTTACGTGTTTTATTTCTGTCCAAAACTGTTTACCAACATTCTTCAAAAATATCTTTTGTGTAAATAATGACAGAGTTTATACTTTTGGGTGGACTATCCCTTTAAAAGAATGTTCCTAATCTTATAAACGGATTCCCAAAATAAACCAAACAGTTAAGATAATATTTGGTGTTTGCTGGGGTTCAAAAGTAGGAAAATTGCAACGTTTCAATCAATTAAATTATACTATAATAACTAAGAGTTAAAAATACAATTCTAAAAGGCATCAAAGCAACATTTAACAGAAAACGATTTACAATTATAGTAAGCGACAATTAATGTTATTCACATAACCAGAGTAAACCACAGACATATTTACAGGTTTTTGAAGTAACCAAATAAAACTTTAGAGACTATCAGAGTCAGAGAGCTTACCTGGAAATACGCTTGTAAAGGTCAAAGCAGCTGCTGTCCGCCTCTATACCTGCACTTTCAGGTTCTTTGTAGGGAAGTGGGTGATGTACAAAAATATTAAATTATCATGAAACACAGAGTGTCTGGAGTCACGGCTCAAAAATATCAATGAGTCTCTGAGGGTTCCAGTGTGATAAAGCAACAACAGCAGCACACTAATTAATATTCATGAGCTGTCTAGAAGATTAAATGAACAAAAAAAAGCTTTTTACCAGCCACTATGAGCGCAAGTTCCAGTTCATTTATGAGCTTTAAGTCTTTGTCCAGAGTTTCCAGTACAGGTCAATCCGCATGATATGTGATCAGATTCAGATTCAAACAGCTATAGAAACAACATCATCACGAAGAGACAACTGTCAGAGTGAGTCAGCTGAATTTACTACGTCCCACATTCCATTCATATCTCCCAACATCATTTTTATTTATGTATTGTTCTCACACGCCCTTTTCTGAGCTTACGTGACTCCAGTCAGTCATATTAAATCAGCATGAGCCGGTTCGGATGTAATGATCTTTTATTGCAGCCTATATTACAGATGATCTGCTTCTATTCAAGGTTTCAATTATCTTTTGTAAGATTAAGACTCTGTACAATCTGTATAACAATACTGAATTTTCAAAAGTTATTATCGTTTATGGTGGCCACTGAGAATGCCTCTTCATTTTTATCCTGAAATGAAATGAAATAAATGTTAATGGTTTTTGGACTTAATATACATGCACATTGGTTTAAAGGAATGTTACCAGTTCAAATCAGTGAAAGTCTGTGTGTAAACAGTCTTTTTTGTTGGTGGTGTTTTGTTGTACATATCAAATAAAAGGTACTGGTTTTATAAAGTCATGTCAGGGGTTTGGTTGGTTTATTTTACAGTCACTCAGTTTTTTGCAATCCCCATGGGAGAAATTAATCTAAAAAAATACTTCCGGAACTAACGCTGCTGAAAAAGTAGGCGGGTGTAAAGTGTAAACAATGTCATGTCACCTTTAATTCCATAGTGCTTTTATACAATACAGATTGATCCGTACTGATTCCATTTAGTGTCAATGTTACAAAGTTCATCAATTCGATTGTATGCATAAAGTCCTGTGGTTTTACTTCTGTGTATTATGCAGTGTTTTGCCCCATAGACTTCCATTGATTTACATTAAAATGCATTACAGCAAATTTGATTTAAGGTCAAAGCTTAAGTTGAACCCGTAACATTCCTCAAACTGAATGATGATGCTGTTGGTGTTGTTTGTGTTTACACTGATGTATTGATCCAGCCACTGGAGAAGCTGAGTGATTCTGGTGTAGACGCCTGGTTTATTGCGTCTTCCACATCCTTCTCCCCAACTCACCACACCAGCCAACCTCCAATCACCAGCTTCAGTCTTACACACGAGAGGACCTCCGCTGTCACCCTGGAGAACAATTACACAACACACCATAACAAACACACACACACACACACACACACACACAGGATCCTTCAAGGAAATATTGGTGACACTTTACAATAAGGCTCTATTTGTTAACATGAACTAACATGAAAAATACTTCTAAAGCATTTATTAATCGTAGTTAAATTCAACATTTACTAATACATTATTGAAATCAAAAGTTGTATCTGTTAATATTGTTAAATGGACACGAGTTGACATGAACTATGTTACGCAGGGGCAGGGAAGAGAGATGAAAAGAGCAGCAGTTTTATTGAAGAAAACACACAAACAAAGGTCCAAAAGAGCAAAGAAGTTGCCAATAATCCATACAGGAAACGTAAATCCAAACAGGAATGATAAAATCCAAGCAAGAAACCAAACCTAACAAGGATAATGATAAAAAATGCAACAGCATTACATGGGGATGTAACGACAACAACAGACTACTGAAACACAGGGGTATATAAACACAGGGTAACAAGGGACAGGTGAGGGTAATTATTCACTATGGAAACAAACAAGGGAAACTATGGAAACAAACAAGGGGAGCTGAGGAAACGAGGAAAACACAGGAAGTGAAACACAGGAAGAATGGGAACATAAAATACATATCAAAATAAAAGATCAAACACAAAACGTGGAAACAAGACAAGAATTATGACTAACAATAAACAGTTGTATTTTTTATTAAATGTTCACAAAAGTCAGTGTTATATTAGTATCATTGATACTATTACAATTTTTGTTATTTTTCTTGAATTAGGTTTTATTTGATATTTTCTGCTATCGTTTTAATTTTAGCTGAAGTTTTAGTAATTTTGTTTAAATGTCTATATAGTTTTTATTAATGAAAAATGTTCTAGCTGAAATAAAATAAGTAAAAATTTTATTTCAGTTAATGTTTAATTAACTTCAAGTAATGTTTTTTTTTTTACTCATTGTTAGTTAAAGGTGCTCTATGTAACTTTTCTACTAAAATGAATCCTTTTTTTTTTTGCATGTGTGTGAAGGGGTTGTAATCACACATTAAAATGATCCACTTGTCGAGTTTTGCTATTACCTCTGAAGGCCAGTATTCCTATTTCTATGTGAAGTCTCCGGGTCGGATTTACCGCGAAATCCAACGGATGTGACGTGCATGCGCGCTCCCGAGCCTCTCTCCTTATATACAGTCTATTGTAGACGGTCAGGGAGTTACGTCCGGTTAAAGGCGCACGTTTTTCGGCTTATATCTCAGTCAATCTTTGATCAATATTCCCAAGACTCTAATCATTCGTAGTGCTGGACGGGGCCTTTCGAACGAGCCCGCCCCCGAGGTCCAACTCGCCCGGCTCCCCGAGTTATAGCCGTTCGAAATCGGGGGTCCCAGCGAACGGCAATCCGGTAGGGGGCATCCCCGAGGCCCGCCACTCTAGCGTTCGGGCAAGGGTTCCCCTGGGACCTCCTCCCCCGAATTTGAGCTCTCGCTCTCTGGGTCTTTGCGTTCCAGAGATACGAGCGATTTTCTTCTGAGATTGTGACGTCACCAGCGTCCGCAATTTTGCAGCGCGCCCGATGGTTTTCTGCTAATATCTCCGCGAAAACACCACCAAAAACTATGGAACTTATATGGTTCTTTTCAGCTCGACTAGATGGTCCCAACGAGCTCGGTGCTCGCCGAATCCGTCTAGTATTCGCCGAGATATTTGCGTAATAGACGGTATTGTCTATGAGTTCGAGCACGAGCGCTCTTGTAAAATTTGGTTGCAATCTGAAACATCACCACTAGAGGCCGCTAAAAGTTACAAAGAGCACCTTTAATGGTAATGAATTAACTGTTAACAAATTAGACTTTATTGTAAAGTGTTCACTGTATCAAAAACATTTCACAGAAAATGCACAATTCTGTCATCAATCACTGTTTTTTTGTCATTTTCCCTCATGAGCTCAACTACTGGAGGTCAACATGAATCAGATTTGACGTTTAGTGAATCTGTTCCTCATTGTTATTGGACTTGAAATAATGATGTGCATTTTTTTTTACCTTTTGTGTTCCACAGGAGAAAAAAGAAAGTCATGCAGGTTTGGAACGACATGAGGGTGAGTAAATGATGACAGAATTGTCATTTTTGAGCAATCTATCATGTTAATGGATGTGTATACCTGACAGGAGTCCACTCCTCCCTCCATAACGCCAGCACAAAGCATTCTGGGAGTGAGTTGGGAGCCGTACACGTTGGACTGTAAGCATATGGACTGATCGATAACCTGAACTAAAGCCTGTCTCAAGTGTGAGGACACCGACCCTGTATGAGAGAGTGAAAGACACCTTGAGGAGAGTTCGGGAGGCCTGTAAACGCTTCAGAAACATAATCTCACCTCCTTCCTGAGTGTAACCCCAACCTGTGACCCAGCATGGGGAATCAGGAGGAAAAGACTCGCTCAGACGTGGTAAACACACGGGTCTCACTCCATCTAAACAACAGTCAACACATCTGTTCTGAATTACAGAGGAGAAACCATCTGCATTAATATCACTTAAAGTCAACATGACATTTGCACCTAATTTTACTAGATTTTATTCTTATTGGTTTTTTAATACATTTAATACCTATCTATACATTATAATACAAAAAGAGATCCTCTTTTATTGATACTTTTCAACTAGACATAAGAAAGGAATCTTTCATTTGCTTTGAAATGTTAACAAATATCAAGATCAGAAAAGAGTATTTCTTACTCTCTGATTCAGTCACAAAACACATTATGTATGTTCATACGAAGATAAACAAAAAGAATAATATTTTAAAATGTATATATATTATTTATATATATGTAAATAGTAACAATAAATAAATACACACACACACACACACACACACACACACACACACACACACACACACACACACACACACACACACACACACACACACACACACACACACACACACACACACACACACATATACTGTATATATATATTAATATATATATATATATATATATATATATATATATATATTTATATACACACACATATTTATATCATTATCAATCAGACAAAACAATCAGATGACGCAAAACTCGGGAAATAATTTTCTATGCGCAGCTAATATTGCTTCACTACATTCACGGGTCTGGCAGGTCTACAGGTGTCTGAAAAAGGACAATAAATTTGCAAGGTCTTTACAGAGAGCGGAGACACTGCAATGACAGCAAGAAACGAGGGCTGTGCGATTAGTGAATTTCTTTCCTTCACAGCGGTGTGCTTTCTTTTCTCCCTAAAAGCTCAAACTTAATCCAAACCAGCTATATCAGTGATTGTCATAAAATACAGTCTACTGTTGCTAAACCGCAGGACGTGCTCGATAATAAAAGAATTATTAAAACTGCATTAAGCCGCGAAAGAGACACTGTTCTCCAAAAGGCTTTCTGTGCACGCGGACAAGCCAAGTAAACTTTGAGCTTTGGGTTCGTGCATAAACGGTTAAAAACACACAGAAATATGTCAAAATGTCCGGCATGGTGAGTATTCGCTTAAACACTGTCGGTTATGTCTTAAGTGAACATAAACAGTTGAGGAATAAGTCGCATGTGTAACAATATATGTCAGGGTTCTGTCACTTCTGTCCAGTTTATTTCTTGGCTTTGTGACAGAGCCCTGACACTCCTGTTT